TCCTGCAGAGACTTATATCCATAATCTTATCATAACTGGTTTGAAAATGTCAGCATGATGCTTTGGTCATTTTAAGAAACTTTTAGGAAAAGCTTGCAAAAAAAGAAACAACAGCCAAAAAATTAATCTAAAACAAGGAAGGTACTACATTTATAGTGAAAAGAAAAAAGACCCCAATTTGAAAGCAAAGAACATTCAGTCTACAACTTCTCAATTTTAAGCATTTAATAAATAAATAGCAAACAGCAATGTCTACATGTGTGCACACGTCTTAGATACAATGGTGTTCAATACAAAATATATGTCTTGCTCCTCCTTTCTTTAAAAACACCTACTGTGCAAAAGACATCTTTAAATTTCTAAATATGCAATGCAATTTAAATATACTTATTAGTATTTTTAACACTCAAGCAAAATAACTCACAACCAAAGAACCCTACAATGGTTATTACTGGAATATACAAGAGACATGATTAAATATTCAGACTTGTTTTTAATACTAAATAACTCAGAAATAGTCTAATAGGACAAATATTAAATATCATATTTTTGAACACTAAATACTTAAAAATAACAATCTAATATTAAAATAGTAATATGTTAAATATTATATTTTTGAATACTAAATACTTAAAAATAACAACCTAATATTAAAAACAGAGTAATGCATATGTTAATCCATATATATTATACCAAATACTAAAATACTGGAAACTACATAATTTGTTCTCAAAGCTAAATGTGTTCAGGGCCAGTGCCCATCACAGTTAATTTTAAGGACAAATTGGAATAGGTAAAGACAGGCAAGAGAAATTATACCAACTAGAATTTTTGCATAAGCCAAGTTACTTCAATCTTGTAAAAGTGAACAGCTTTATCTGGGCTTATGAGCACTAACTGTTTGTTGTTTGCCATTTAAGGATCTATGTATGTACAATTTTATCACAGGACTGATTAAAGTTCCCAGCATGAATAATGACTTTTCAGATTTTTAGGTACAAAATGATTTTATTTAAAGAATATGCTCATGTCATACATGATGATGCCATACAAAGGTGTCTTTACTTCATAAAAATGTTTTCATGTATACTAATCCTAGGGAATTCCAAATTATTCGACCTAAAGTGCTCTAAGGAAATAAATAATTGACAAAAATACCTTCTTGAAGTGAAAATATTTTCAAAAGCTGCTTCAACCCTTTTAATATGGAATCATAGATCTACTTTATATTATTAGCACTGCAGATGT